AATTGCAGAAAATAGAGATTTTATTGAATTTGCTGAGGTCGGTTACAAAGTATGGTAAGTCGGTATTACAGTACAGGAGGTCGGTAACAGAGGAGACCGAGGTAATAAATGCTTGAATTTAAAGCATGTTTGTTTATGAAAAATTTTCAAAAAATTTCCAACATTTTAATTCAACCACCTTTTTTAACTCAACTTTAACTCAACCCCACTATAATCAATATTATTAATATAATTAAATATTATCAATCAATCATTCATACACACCACATCAACCTTAATTCATTATTCATCCACTCACATTATTTTAACTAACCATCACTTCAATCATCTCTCTTCTACTTTTACATCAAATTAATTTTAATTTTTTTATTTTTAATATACTCACTAACAACTAATCATACCACTTTTTTTAAAATTAACCAAACCAACCCAAAAAATTCAACAAAACAAAAAATTTTCATATTCAAACATGCTCTTAATGTGTTGGAAGTGGATCCTCGTATCGACTTTAATGTTGCTATTTATAGTTATATCTGGCACACCTTCCAAGAGAAGTCGGCGGCATTTAATGCATATATGACTGCTAAAGGGCGGCTACGATACCAGCAGACTTTTTTAGGCAATGATGAAAGCATGGGCACCCCTTTGACTGAGTGACAGGCGTCACTTCTGTCGGGGCGAAGCGGGTTTCTATGACGTCGGTCGTCCTACGGGGTTGTAACCTTTTATGACCTTCCAATAGAACTCTTTTTGAACCGAGGTGACGATCCCGAGGTGTTAGTGTAATGCCTGGATGATCGAGAGGTCTTCCATTTGCATTTCAGAAACAGAGATGGCAACCTTAAGGTGTTGATCCGATGCCGAGATGGTACCAATGATCTTTACTGCATCTCGGATTTCTATTAATTAACCTTAATAGTCGCTTAAATTTGTCCAGAATATCCTTAATCTGTGGTATTCGGTTCTAATGTCAACAATTGGTTTGGTGCGGTTATTGGTAAAATTAAAGAATATTTTTGAACTTATTAAATAAATAATTTTTGGTATATGACTGGTTATGAAATGAATAGAAAATCGTAGAGTTTATTATTAATATCGAGATACCAATTTTATTATAGTATTATGGTAGTTATATGAAGAAGATTTTTGCAATTAATTTCTAAATTTATTTTGTACTTATATTTTGTCAATGTTTTACCAATTTTGGTCTACATATGGCTAGATACCCAACAAAATAGGAGAACACACTATTTAAATTTATTTTGTACTTATATTTTGTCATTGTGTTACCAATTTTGGTCTACATATGGCTGGATACCCAGCAAAATAGGAGAACACATTCTTTGTTTTTCAGGATACAAAATTATTTGTTATTAAAGATAAATAGTTAATTTTTTTTCGATATTTTAGATTAAGACGAATATTTGTAGATTAATAGAAAAAAATATCAGGATGTTTCAACTTTGTTATTGGACGGATCCGATCAGCGATTAAAATAAAGTGTTTCCATCGTAAAAAAGTAATATGACGAGGAAATATTGCGAAAAAGGAGTTTTATTACGTAATTAAGAGGTCGGCCTCTGCGAATGAGGTCAACACTTTTGTTATAGTTTAGCTTATTGCAAAAGTTTGTCACAGCTCGTAGGAAGAGAAAGTAGAGATAAGGTAGAGTTAGTTGAGATTCCACAGCTTCCAAAATAAATGAGGGGATGTTCTATTTATAGTGGCATTGAATGAGGTCATGTTCCTCCACTGTTCACGCGGTCATGTTGTACAGTAGCTTTGTGAGACAGACCGACGCTCTTCTGACTGATTGAGAGTAATTTGTGGATTTTTCGATCATTGCCTACAGAGCATTTAATGCGGACAGGTCTTCCAGCCGGACTAGACATCCTAGGCTTGCAGACTAGTCAGAGGCATCCCATCGGCAATAACTGATTGACAAGTTATAATATAATATTGTTTTCCAGGTCCTCAACTTCCGTGGGGGCCGACTTGATAAAACCCCTAGGTCGAACTTTGGCAGTTAGTTCATCTTCCGATCTCCCAGGTTCCGTGTCTCTACTCGGCACCCAGTCGGGTCGGCTTCGTAACAAGGCGGTCGAGGTGCCGACCTCGAGAATGGTAGCTCGTTGCCTCCGTTATCTTTGGCCCTCGGTCAGCTCGGCATTCCCAGAGCAGCTCGAAGACCGGTTTAGGCGACCGGGTCGGCTCCCTCTGGTTCCTTATCACTGAACTGGAACTTTCATACATGTTCAACTCGGATATCAACAAACCTTTAACCACTTCACGTATATTTGGGATCTCGGGCTAGGAAAAAGACAAATCTCTTGATTCTCGACAATGCCGAATTTGAATTTCTAATTTACAATTATGATATATATATATATATATATATATATACAATTATGAAATATACATATATATCCCCATCCCCATATATATTAATTCAGAACGTGCTGAGCTTAAGTGGCAGGCTCGCATGCTTCGAGATCCTATGTGGCAAAATTACATGATTCGTTATTAGGGTTGGATAGATTTTAATTTACTTTCAATCAAAAAATAATTAGGTTCGAATTATCCATAAATATGTTGATTATTTATGGTCATTTACATGTATTAACTGCATTTTAATAACATTTTTTATCATAACTATTAAATTGTAAATGTATTTTAAAATTTAATAGCTTTTGTATTTTTTATCAGTTTTATATATATAATATATAAAATTAATCATCTCTTGATGAGCTTCGATTTAACATCCATATTGTATGTATAAAATAAATAAATTATATTAATTTTTACAACAATAATAAAATTATTTTTTAATATTACTTAAAAAATAAAATAATTTATCAATTAATATATTTATATTTCAAGTAGTTATAATAAAAGACATGTAAGTCGCACAAGTAACAAATGTCATTCTAAAATATATAATAATATAATTTTTTTGTAAGAACGTAATAAACATTATTATAATTAAACACATGTAAGTCGCACAAGTAACAAATGTCATTATAAAATATATAATAATATATTTTTTGTAAAAAAGTAAACAAATTTAAAATAATATGTATCATTAATTTTAAAATTTAAGAATAATTTTTTAGCAAGCACCTGTGTAATACACGGGTGTTGTACTAGTATATATTTTAAATTTGAATGTGTCTTTATTTGGACTAGTACGTAACCCGTGCGATGCACGGGATGTAAAATTTGGAAGAATAATATAATCTCAGTGCATTAGGATCGAAATTGAAATCATTAAAATACATAGGAACATTGTTGAATCATAAAAAGTTTGGTAACAATCATAAATTATTAAAAACCTCCTTGTACACAACATTATGAGTTTGATTATTGGTAACTCCTCATTATCACAAACTAATATTTTCAACCCCCTTCTATTATTTACACGCGAAGCAGCAACATATAATTGGCCGTGACTAAAAACGGGTTTCTTCAGGAAAAGACCAACGTGCGATAAAAAAGAGTTTTTAAAAATTGAAAAGTCAAGGCAATCAGTTCAGATTAATTAAAGGTCAAAGAATCCGCTCATTGAAATAAAGACGTGTGCTATCATTAACCAAATATCCAGTTATTGATATAAAGTGGTTACCAAAAAATAGAACGCGATAAAGACGCTTCATGAAAATATCAATGGGATAAGGTCATAACAGATCGTTCATAAAAGCTCATATAGAATGATTTAATTAGATGTGTGAAAAGGACATAATTAATGAGAAGTGTGAAAATGACATAATTAATGAGAACTGTGAAAAGGACAAAAACTTACCGACTTTGGAAAATATTTAATACAAATCCGACATTGACCATAATTTGACCTACTGTTTTGGATAAATGTTAATTCTTATTATATAAGTATAGATGTGGGCACTTGTATCATAAATTTAGAAATATATTATTCAACAAAATTATTTACTTGTTAATCGATCCTAATTTTGACATTAGTTTCGAAACATTTTGATATTTATTTCAAAATAGCAATTATTAATCTTATTTTATTAGATAACATATATTTTACTTTAATCATTGCTATATGTCAAATTATATTGTTTGGAAATAACTATAAAATTCTATTTTATTTATTAATAACAACTGTTTTGGGTTCAATAAATGTTGTATTATTTTTTATTCATTAAACAAAATTTTGAATTTTCCATGCTATATTTTATATCTCATTTTATTATATAATAAATTCATATTATAAAATGAAATATTTTAATTAAATTATTATTACATCTGATTTTAGAGATTGTACAAAAAATAATTGTCGATAAAATTGTTTAACTTTTGTAATTTCAATTTTTAATTGAGTTGTAAATTTTTCAATTATATGACAAAATACTAATTTTTTTAAATCATTATGACTTTAATTAAAAAAAATTGATTAACTTATCACAACTAAAATAATATCACAATTCAGTTTACATAATATTTAATATATAAATAAATAAAAATAAAATAAATATTTTAGATTGAGTTGAGTTCGGGATAAAGATAAGTTATGTTGTTAGGTTGAGTTTTGTATGTGGAGGAGAGAAAAATAATTTTTAATTTATTGGGTTGGTTGAGTCATAGCGCTAAAGTAATTGCTCCGACTTTAGAAATGGATTCTAACCTCTAGAGGAAATTGCAAATTTGGTCTCGTTAGATTGAGAATGTCGCAATTTTAGTCCAAATAGGCGCAATTTAAGTTCTTAACTAATTTTTGTTGCGCAATTGGTCCCAAATAAATATTTATATTTTTTAAGGAGTGAAAAAATTACCTATCTTAAAATTAAAATTGCGACCCTCCAAATATGACGGCACAAAATTTGCAATTTCCTCGCTCCTCTGACAAGGCAAAGTATCACGTTCCCCCCATATTATTCATCACTCAAAATCGACTCGAACAAACAACAAAATCAAATCGTACATCCAATCACACAACACCGCAATAAATTTAGCACGAAAAAAGGAAAGGAGAAAAGCTTATGAGAGAATCTCGACGCAGCTTCCTCGTTCCTGCAGTGTGCCTAAAAGTGAGAATTCCTTGCGGCAGTTAATTTCCATCAATCAATTGCTGTATTTTTTTGTGTTCATAAAGAGTGTATTGGGTGAATTTTGCAGAAGATGAGATGGGAAATCTGTTATCTCGGTCTCGCAACCGCAGCAAAAGTGGAAGCAGCACAGGCGCACGGGACTCTGGCGCGGGCTCGGTAAGCCGTGCCTCGCCAAGCTTGCTTTCGTCTTCGTTTCACAAATCTACAGGCGGAGGCGCAGGAGGCATGTCGTCCAGTAGCAGCTGGGTTGACAAGAGGAAAAAGTACGGATATATCCCTGATACCTTCACCTCCATCGATCAGGTTCGTTACTCAGTACTTTCTTTCTATTTTTTCCTTAATATTAATCGTTTTCCCATTTGCGTGCGGTGTTCTGTTTTAACTTTTTATCTGGTAAAGAAAAGGTGTGATAATTGAAGTTTGTGACCCGATTGTTTATCATGTCCATTGAGATTTGCATAGCCATTCTCCCGATTCATCAATTGCAGTAATATGATCATGATTTTGATGAATGCTTGCACCAAGAGTTTTTTAGTCCACGCTATGGTAGACGAACAGTTAACCTGGTGGGTCTTTAGAAGACCAAGTCAAGGCCATCAATATTTGGCATGCTGACTTTGGAACCCACTAATATTTGGATATCAAGTGAGTGGATTAGTAAATCAACCATCATAGTGCAACTTGTAAATTCTAAAGCGGCTGCTCATATTATTGGGAAATGCTACAATCCCGTTACGGAACCATTCCGTCGAGATTTGTAACCGTAAGATCATCATGTAACCGTCACGGATAGTTGATCTAACAGTTACCAATAGGGCACCAACCGCGCGACTTGATGTTAAAAAGTGCACGTGTAAAATATAATTAGAATAAATACTAAAATAATTATAAATATAATTAGAATAAATATATATGTATATATATATAATTATAATTATAATTATATTGGTAAAAGTATGAAGTTATCTTTGGACTTGGAACATTAAAATATAATACCATCAATTTGCTACTTAAATGATGGAAACTGACCGAGAACAAACGAAAAATGCAGCTAATATATGCCTGCATGGTTGCATATGAGCTGAATATGCATAGGAACCTGCATGGTTGAATCTGAGCTGAATATGTACAGGAAAAGTAATAATTTGGTTAAGCAAGCCCCACAACTCTCTGTAACACGTGGATATGGAAATTTTGCTGTTGACATAAACCATGTAGCTTGAATCAGACTTTGAAGATGACGACATAACCAACTTGGAAAATATCAAATTACCAACAACCAAAAGGGTAAGTGAAATACATTTTCGAGTGATATTTATGATCTCAATCTAACGGGAGTTGAACAGGTTATCCGCAATGTTGACAACGATGGTTCCTTGTTAATGTCCTATGCCAGACAACAAATTATAGTTCTCTTCAGACCTTGTAGAGATAGTGACATAGTAGATCAAATAATTCCAGCTTGTATAGGTCTCGAAGTGCGTAGGCCAGTAAAACTTGCACTCAATGAGGAGTGCATGTTGTAGTTGTACTTTCAGCAAGCTTCTTGATTTTTGAGATTTTTAGACAACGTACATGTGTGTGACCTAAACAAAATATGGGCCAAAAAGTTTATTCCCCAACCGAATGCTGGTTTTGACGTGTGTTGTTTTTGTCTTTTGCTATTGGTGAACGGCATGTATGGAAACTCTTCAAGTTCATTTTCTTACTTCGTTTCTCAATTTGCTAGTGCTGGTGTTCCACTTCCTTTCCATGATAAGCCAGAGTCACATGATTCATATTAGTTTCTCTAGAAATTATGCGCTGTTTTATTGACCTATGTACATACGTGAGGGATGGCACTGCAGGATCATGATAGAAGCTATGAGGTTACCTACATCAGATCTTTGTGTGCTTGCCATCCTAGTCAAGCTAAAAATCTAAGCCTTTTTGGCACAGCTAAGAACAGTAACTTGGTTTAGTTGTGAGCCGACGTTTTTTAATTATGTGTTAACACCTAATTCAAAAACTTAAATCTAATATTTTTATGCCAGTTTTAGAACGTCTCTGATTTGTTCACTTGAATAAAATGGCTCTATGTTGTTGACTAAACTATGTTGTCTTAGTACGGCTGGTTAGTATTTCAAGCCCAAACCTTATTTTTTCAAACATTGATACATTTTTGCAGGTGACGGCGGCCTTGAGAGAAGCTGGTTTGGAGTCATCTAATTTAATTGTTGGAATTGACTTTACAAAAAGTAATGAATGGACAGGTTAGTGCAAAAATATTTTTTTAACAAGAGGCTGCAGTTTTCTGCCGGATGATTGTGTGGAGAAGAAACTATGTGATTGAAGTGATGCGGTGATAAATTTATCTTTAATATGTTAAATTGATTACCCTACTTTTTTGGGCAAAACCACTTAAGTAATCTAATTTATTTGGTAGTTTTCTTTACTAAATTAACTGCATTGGAAGAATACAAAAATAATTTAACTTACAACACTGATTCATCTGTTATCATATTAAATTTATTTCCATGACTAATATTCCATCCTTGTTACAGAAATAAGATTTAAAGAATGCTAACACACAAATTTTTTATGTAAATTTTATTGATATACAACTTTTAATGTAAATTTTTTTATGCAGGCATATATATATTTTGTCTTCCCATATTTATATTTGGTACTGGTAGCTGATGGAAGTTATTTCTGTAGGGAAAGTTTCATTCAACAACCGCAGCCTGCATGCAGTTGGTGATGTGCCTAATCCATATGAGAAAGCAATAGCCATCATTGGGAAGACTTTGGCCCCTTTTGATGAAGACAATTTGATACCTTGTTTCGGGTTTGGGGATGGTTAGTTATTAAATTGTTGCATAATTTGGTATTATTTTTTTACTTCTTTAAGTGTCGCCAGATAATAGTTAAAACATAAGTTTGTTATTGCTCGAGTTTTCCTCCAAAGTTTCCTTTATCTGCAGCAACTACACATGATCAGGAGGTGTTTAGCTTTCACAATGATCACTCTCCTTGCAATGGTTTTGAAGAAGTTTTGGCTTGCTATAAAAGAATAGTTCCAAATTTACGATTATCTGGTGAGCTTCTATATCTGCCTCAACCTCATGTTTTCATTCCCATCAAACCTTCCGAAACAAACCATAGTTAGTTTTCTCTCTCTGAATCTGTCTTTAGGACCAACATCTTATGGACCAGTGGTGGATGCTGCAGTTGATATAGTGGAAAGAAATGGTGGACAATACCATGTTCTAGTGATTATAGCTGATGGCCAAGTCTCTCTCTCTCTCTCTCTCTCTCCCCAACCAAATTTTCATGAAATTGTTATGTGTGTATATGCATTAATCACTTTATGGTGACCTACCTTTCATAAGGTTTCAAGAAGTGTAAATACGAATGAAGAGGAACTCAGTACCCAGGAAGAGAAAACAATTAACTCAATTGTAAACGCAAGGTATTAAACATTGTCGTATAAATTTGTGTATATTTTCGCTCTTCAAAGAATTTTGGTTTTGAATTCCAGTTGCATTCCATTACCTGAAGATAATACCTATACATACTAACTTGCGTTTCCTCCTCATTCCCCCCCAACGAAAACACATATTTCCTTACATTTTCCAGACTTTCCTCAAAACATCCGAAAATAACTGTACTAGCTTAGTTTTATTGTTTAAAGAAGAAAATCTTGGAAGCTTTAAGGTGAAAGTGTTCACTTCCATAGTAATTCTTATGCTGCAATATATAATTTAATCATGAATAAACTACATAAGATTACACCATTAAGTGATATTTTCTTACCCCAAGAACTATTATCTAGAATTCTCTACTGTGAGTGTCTTTGTATCTCAACTCTACTCGGTACCTAATTGGCGCAATTTGTATATATTAATGTACCAAAATCTCAACCTTTTGCTTTCAGTTTTTATCCTCTCTCAATTGTTCTTGTTGGCGTTGGTGATGGTCCCTGGGAAGATATGAAAAAATTTGATGACAAAATTCCTGCTCGTGAATTTGACAATTTCCAGGTTTTTATACTAGATTAAATTGCCTTGCCTATCCTAAATTACCCAAAAACTCAAAAAAGTTATGGTTTCTTTGTCACTTATCTCTTTTAATTGCAGTTTGTAAATTTCACGGCTATCATGTCCAAGAACTCATCACCGTCTGGAAGAGAGACAGCCTTTGCCCTTGCCGCACTCATGGAGATTCCCATCCAATATAAAGCAACAAAAGAATTTGGTATATTAGGGTACGTACTCTGCGAAATATATTTTCCATTACCTGCCAGTGCAAATTGCGAGTTGGTCATTATAAAGATGTAGATTATTGTAGATAATATTCACCCTTCAGTACCTAAAGTAACTTTTCGACATGCTTTAGGCTTTCTGGAAAGGCTGAGTTTGGCCTAGCACTATTGTTCCATTTTGAATGTCAAGATTCTTTTAACATGTTCTAACATAAGGTGATGATGAATCTGGATCGATTATCATACAACTTCAAAACATTGTAACATAGTGGCATGTATCATGCAAGAACCACATTTAAGCACACATTCTATTGTCTTGTTATATTTCTTTCAATCTACACATGCATATTTTGACCTAAGACGAGTGACCGGTAAAGCAAAGAAAGTAGTTCCTCGACCTCCACCTGTACTGTACACTCGCCAAACTGGATTTCCAGCACGAGAGCCCAGCACTGTTTCTGCTATGCAAGATGACCAAAATCAGGTGAGGTTCCACTAATTTTTTTCTTCCTTTTCTTTCGGTCAAGTGACTCGAATCTATCCTGTCTAAACTGAAACTGGTTCTCTTTTTTCATTACAAAGCTACTTAGTCGTAATGTGATGCTTATTTCATGCTGATCGTATATTTTATAAATAGTTGGCAATAATTCCTAAATGTTGTCTTTGGTCTTTTTGCAAGTTCTACCGAACTCCCCTGTTGTTTAAATGGAATCAATTGCGACATATATTAATAGATTTTGTTTGATTAATGTGATTAAAGGTCTGTCCAGTTTGCCTAACCAATGGAAAAGACATGGCTTTTGGTTGCGGACACATGGTAAGTTAACTCATCACAAAACATTTGGGCGAATTAGCCAGCAAATATACCTTAACCAATACGAACGTGGCTTTTGCAGACATGCAGAGATTGCAGCAATAGGTTGTTCGACTGTCCAGTTTGTCGACGACGTATCACAAGCCGACTCAGGCTATACACTTGACAATAGCCATTTCCAGGTTCATATGAACTTAATATGCATATTCATTGTGTGACTTCTCGGACAATGTGAATGTTACTGTATAGTATTTTAGAAGTGGAATTAGGCACTTAAGGTCGGAAGTTGTGGACTTCTTGTGTATGCACTGAAGCTATATGTAAATATGTCATGCATTTCTCTATTCTATATTCATGAAAGTTGTATATTTTTTATACCATTTCCTGCTATATTGTGTAGGCGGGAAGTCCTTCCTGATTTCTTGATGCAGGTTTGGTCACCTGTCTTGCTATGAAGTGTGCATAGTTGGCCTGAGCAATGGGCTCAAAAAATAGCGAACCACTCTGTAAACCTAGTTGAAATCATTATGAATGAAAAATAACCGTTGATTGTTTGACTTTTTCCTAACCGAACCAAGAAAACAATCGGTACGGTAATGCACAAATAGCAATACCGAGAACCAAATAGAATCATCTAATGATGTACCAAACCGGATAACCGAACTATAAGTTTAAAGTTGTCTTGCCGTTTGATCTTATGCTAATTTTAGTCCTATATTATATGAATATTTTTATATTACTAAATAACATATAAATAACAATTAAAACTCACAGTTAATATTGTTAAAAGTATATTTTATTATATATATATATAGATTTTTTTTTTTTTTGGTACAATATNAAAATTAAAAACATTATTTTCTAAAGTGATATATATTTTATTAGGAGTTCAAATTTTCACCCCTAGTTTTCACAAAAACAACCTCAACTAAAATCGTGAGTCGTTTATATCATTTCTTATTTTTAAAGGTTGTTTTCAAGATTTTTTTAATAATAATAAAGATATATTTAAAATGAAACTTAGAAAAAAATATAATATAATTTTATATAACTATATTATAATTTAACAAGTGATTCAAATTAATAATTTTATTTTTTTATTTTTATTTAATTATTAAAAATCCATGCATATCTATATATATATTAGAGCTAAGGAGCTGAAAATTTCCCTCCAAAACTACATTTAATACATTGTAATAAATTTTATCAACTTCTATGCATGATTTATCAACAAAAAATATTTATTACATATAAACATTAATTTGTATTATAATTGTATTGGAATTTGCACTCCAAATTTTTTTGACTAAATAAATGCTTCAACTACATATATTACTATGAAATAAATTTTGTTAATTTCTATGTATTATTTATCATTCAAACAATATCATAAATATTTGTTACAAATAAATACTTATTTTAGACATAATAAATTATTATACAAATTCCCATTGTATATGTTTTTTTCATAATCAATTATTTGTTACAAATAATTAATATTTAATATTATACGTAATTATTTATCATGAATTCTCAATCGAATATCTCACTTATTAATTGTCTCTCTCCCCGTTTGTGAGTATGAGTTCTTTTCCTTATATATTATATTCTTTTAGAATAATAAATTATCAATCTTATTTAATTAAGCACTAAAATAAAATTTAAAGTCAAATATTTTATTTAAAATCATTTATTATTTTTATTGGAACATCAAACACAATATTATGTTTTCGGTTATATTGAGTATATTTCAAGGTAAAATAGAAAAAAACATAACTAATATGATATCTATATGTAACATAATAAATAAATATTTTTATAGTTTTTAATTTTGCATCTATACGCATATATATAGATAAATTTTTAGATTTGATATGTCAATTTAAATTCGTCATTGTTTATTTTAACATATACATGCTCATATGTTTTCATATAAATATTTAATAGTAGCACCATACCACATTTGAAACATATACTCTATATTGATGGAATTTACATACACATTAAGAAAATAGGTAACCATCTCTTATTAATCTAATATTATATTATTTTATATCTTTATGTAATTCTAAGAAATTACGAGTGATCATTAATTTATTTGCATTGAGTACCTCATTCAAAAACAAGATCTTTTAATTTAAATTGTAAAAAATCTAATCATTCACAAACTCTGATGTGAGCTGAAGTAAGTGTTAGTCAAGTCAACGTGTCATTCTTTTTTAACAAAAATGCGAATTTAGACCTCCAAATTTTATACTTTGTTTATTTTATTTTATAATATATTTTTTTAAATAATAAATACAATACAAATAGATTGAGATAAAAAATAATGAAGTTATATTTAGAATAAATAACATAATTTATTCGACTAAAAGAGATGTATTTTTCAAGAAAAAAATATAATCTATAATATTTGGGGATGATCATTCATATCCATATGAAATAGATCTCGAAAATGTTGAATAACTTTTATTTGAGTAAAAAACACTATGTGGATTTAAGTTTATATCACCAATAAACCATGAATATGAAAGCTATGAAAAAAAAAAAAGATTACAGAATTCGAAAATGATATGAAATTTGACTGTATTTTATAGATAAATAATAGATTAATATTTCAGAACTGATATTGTATAAAGAAAAAAAAAATCCACAAATGATAACGTACAAACAAAGAGATATGACATCATTTCAAATAGACAACTCATGGATTTCATTGTGAAGACTGAAAAAAAAATGCATATATATCGTTTATTTTTTGTATGAATTTTCAATCATATATTAGCCATTAGGTCGTTTCACGTTAGTTTTTAGTATTTTTTATTTTTAGTTAGTATAGTTTGTTTTGTTTTTTAAAAATCTTGACGAGTCCACTTAAACACATGAGCATAAAGTTTTTGCCTTCATTAGTTTATTTAATTGGTTCATAATTATACAATTATAATTTCTGAAGGCATAACGGGTTAATTTTATTGTTAATGTTTTATTTCTATATCGTATGCTGTTTTCTTAAGAATAATGATAATGTATCATCTTTATCGAAACACTGCTTCACAGAAAGTTCCTACAACTTACTATAAATGCAATAACTATTTTTGCTTCGTCATACATCCCAATTGTTAGTCTTCCTTTTTATTTTTTTAGACTTATATATTATTATTAAATATTTTATTATTGATATGTGAAAATAATTTTGTATTTCTAAATAATAAGTTAATTAAAATCATCTTAAATTTCATGCAAAATAAGTTTTAGCTATTGACCTAACATTGACGGTGATCATCTTGATTATTTTTTTAATATAATATTATAAAAATAAAAAATACAACTTTAAAGAATATAATAAAAAATAATCTGATATGTATAGACATATACTTTTTTTTTGTACAATGAGATGAACATTTATTTTCATAGTTTGTATACAACATAAAAAATAATTGATTTAGTGTTCGAACATAACATCTAATTTAGTCTCATTTATTGGTAAACAATATAAGAATATTGCGAAATGATAGTGTGCAATGATAAAAAAATAAATAGAAAATGGTAACATAAAGAGTGAGAGGTCTCAACAACAATAAGAGAGTTAAAAAAAAGTATTTATATAGTTTTGACTTAGAAGACAAAATGATCATATTGATTGAATAGATCTGATAATTATTTGTTTTATTTATTTCATTTGAGCTTAAATTTGAGGTTATGTAAAAGTTGGTGAAAAGTGACAACCCTTAATTTTTATAATAAATAGACAATTATACAGCCAAAACTTTTATAACAAAAGTAGCATAATGTGTTAATTATTGTTTAACTTTTGTTTATGAACAAATCTTTTTCTTTTATAAGAGAACAATGAGAGTATATTATTGCAACTAAATGTTATAGTAGATAAAGTTAAACACAACTTATTATAATGTATCAACTACTTGTTCCTTATCATATATCAAAATGTTAATTTCACAATAATGTATTTTTTTATGTATTTTATATAATATAATTTAAATTTATTTTTCGTATTACTTTACAAAAATTTCTTTAATGTGTTTTTCTAAAAATTACATTGAATTACAGTTTTCATCGATTTCCTACAAAAATAATAATAATAATAATAATAATAATAATAATAATAATGATTGTTGATATCAAGATAGAATATCTTGAAATAATGATTAGATTAAAAGAATCGTGAAGTCTAAATCACGGATTGGATCTTGGGCGATGTAAAACAGAATATACAGCACCTCGGGAATATCACCTCGGTACTTACACGATGTTCTTATATGATGATGTGAATAATATAGCAAATCTTCAAAGGTCGTCAGCACAAGTCGTTTGAACCCCGAAAAGACTATCTCGGTTGGAAGAACAACTTATCAGGAAGTCGTAGAAGACTGAAAGTTTATCAAAATACCGACGTTACAAAACGTACCGACTTCGATCCGACAGATGTGACGCTTGTCACACAGATAGAGGCGCGCCCATACTCATCATTGCCTAAAAAGTTCGTCTACGTCATCGCCGCCCCTAAACTGTCAAATCTCCATTAAAACGAAGCTGATTTGCTTTGGGAAGTGTGCCAAACATAACTATAAATAGCAACATCGAAAACTGTAGAAGGATTCGGCAAAAGTGATAAAAGCATATATATTTAACTCGGTTTCTTCTTTGTTTACCGACTTAGTGAACATTAAAAGACCGACTTCCCGGTTCTGTAACCGACTTCAAAATCTTCAATAAAAATCTCATTTTCTACAATCTTTGTTGTAATTTTTACATTGATTACGTTGATTAAATCCGTTTATCAACAATGATGATGATGATAATAATAATAATAATAATAGATACACAATTCTGCAGAAAAAAAATTTAAAAATAAAAATAGCATAATGGGCAATTATCATTTAATTTTTGTCAACCACTGCGTAATCACTAGATAGAAGACAGAAGATAGGCTGGTTTGCTTGAAGAGAATCTTTTCTATGATCAGATCCGAATCGTCTTTGTACACGAGATATTAAAAATGTTTTTTTTTTCATAAGAGAATGATGAGATCATATTATCACAATGAACAGTTAACCACAAACTTATTATAATGCATCAACTACTTTTTCTTTATCATGTATCATAATGTTAATTTAATTTTATTTCTTTTAGATTTTATATAATATAATTTCAATGTTTTTTTTTTTTGTATTACATTACAAAAAAATTTCAAAGTGTTTTATTATAATTATATTGAATTATAATTCTCATTGGTTTCATGCACAAATAAGTATTTTAATATTACATTGAGTTACAATTCTCATGAATTTCATGCAAAAAAATAAATGTTTTAATATTGAGTTACTGATTCTATTTATAACTTTATAAAAAACGATCATCTTTCATGTCATTCTCTAATCATCATCGCACTTATTTTGTAAAAAACGAAAGGTTGAGATTTATTTTGTTAGTAAAAAGTAAAAAATATGTAGACTTAATTTAAAATTAAATACATGCAGATAGAAGTCATTTTTATTTTTATTAAATATTTAATTTATATTTATAAATTTTATTTTTCTCATCTTCGCACATGTTAGCATTAATTATTCAATATTAGTTTATTTGTACAATAGTAATCATGACTTTATTTTCTTTTTTCAACTATGAAAATTATGTTATCACATATAGAGTTTTATGAAAAGTTTTGAAAAAGTGTCATTAATGTGACCAATAATTTTTTTCACGGTATATCAAATATTTTTGTCAGCTTAAAAATTTAATTTTAAAAATTTAGAAAAAAAAAATTATATTGGATTTTATATTTTTTTTATTAATTGTTATTGTTCTAGAGTCATGATTCATGTTGTCTAATTATTGTTATTACTATTGGTTATAACGAACACAATTCATAATATTAATGTTGTATTTGTGGAAATATTTTTAAATGGATTAATAAAAAAATTATTTTACATTATCTCAATAAATTTTTAAAAAAATATTTTTTTTTATTAAATTGTCATTCATTCACATCATTTTTAATATTAGGCCGCGCAACGCGCGGGTGGCGTACTAGTTCAATTTGAAATTGTATCAATCTGACATTCTCGATACCCTTAATCATCCGAATCGAATTACAAAGATCGCTAAACCAAATTATCCCAATTTTGTTATAATTTCGAAGAATGAGCTTCGATGATTTTTAATTTTTGGTTGGCTCTTAAGATTCCTTATGTTGTAAATAAAAACACTTGAATAAATTAAGAAAGCCTTTGAATAAAAAAGTGAGTTAAAAGAGGGGATTTTGTTTTTTNGATTATGAACTGATATGTGATAAAATGTAATGATTAAAAATTGATGAAATAAAAAAATAATAATTAAAATTGATGTAATAAAAAAATAATAAATATGCAACCGATTGTAGCTAAAAAGATATGAATAAATAGATAGTGAACTTTGTTAAAAAAATGTGTGGTAAAAGTTATTTTTTTATTATTTAATTCCATTGATAAAAATGAGTACAAGAAAATAGAAAAATATATAATGATTTAAAAAATATACACCTAGATTAGTGAAAAATATGTATCCCAAAACTGAAAAAAATACTTGTACTGTATCACTCCCTAAATCTCCCAACTAAATCTCTTATCCAATTTCCCCAACCTTGCTCAAGCCCTGATGCATAGTTTCTATTGATCTATTAATTGATGAGGTTGCTGTCTGTATTTCATGACTTGAAGATAAAGTTCCAACCCCACAAAAAAGAGAGACCACCTCATTAAGAGCTAGATTGAACTTGCTAAGAAAAAAGAAGGTCTGAATTGAACTTACTAACAAACACAGTTCCACAAAGTACTGGGACGAGATAATTATATCCATCGAATTTACAATCAAACATAAAACATTCTACAATGTATCTTGATTTAAATTCATATACATCTTAATTTCAATTCATAATAGTTTTTATTAATACGTGTTATGAGTGTAAAATGAGAATGAAAATTATGTGGAGCACACAAATGGCTTGAAATTGCTGTCAAACATTCAAGAAACCCTGAATATACCCAAAGATGTACTTGATCTCCAAATCTGATGCATCATGCATTTGCAAAACAATCCCAGTTAATTGTAGGTTCTCATACATTTGCATCCACAATAATTTAATTTTATTCAGAGGCAACCCTGACATAGCTGGACTAACATCAAAAGATCCAAATTCCCCAGTTGATAAAATTACAAGGTGGGAGAATGAAGAAATCCAAACCAACAAAAAAGACCATTCGATGTGTCTTAATATCCACAATGCATCAATAACCAAAGAAAGATACCTTTCAGTCTACTTTTGTTACTTCTTAACATCAGAGGCACTTGAACCTGGAACTGGCTGAATCCTCACATACGGGTTTCTCGTGAGTGTCTCGCCTCTTAAAGCCGCCACATATCTGTCATTAGTGTCCTCCTTCCTCTTCAGTTCCCCAAGAAACTCCGCCAGCCGCTCTTGATTAACTTTGCCCATCATCTGACAATTCACAACCTCAGAAAACTACAGCTTTGTATCCCTACTTCAATAACCAATAATAATCAACACTACTCAGAAAAACTTCTTAGCAAGAAAAACTCATCTCCTACAGTAAACTCCACATGAATTCAAATGTGTATCACCATTCACCAATGATTCAAAGAAAAATGCTCAAGGAGATAATGACTAACAAATAAAATTGATGTGCATCTCATTTTATCTCAAGTGTTTTGTATGATCTTTTTACTTTTTTCTTTTAACAGAACATGGCTTGCTTGCTGTACAGTTACTACAGAGACATCATCACAAGCATCCACGAGAATTGAATTCTTTGGCGTGTGGATAGGCAACCCATATGGGGGCTATCATTGGCAGTTGAAATTCGAGAACTTGGATACAAGGATTCACCTATTCATCAACTAGTTTATTTGAAATTCCTTCTGCAAAACAAAGGCTAACAAAGCCAGTCCAAAAATCGGAGAAGGAAAATGGAAGACCCTGAAATAAATCAACTATCCAGTAAATCAACTAACATGTAAAATTCACTTAATTCTCTTCCAATAATCTGACCTAGTTACCGCAGCTTATATACCTCCATATCACTCTAAATTTTTGGAAAAATTAAACCAACTAATCTGACACATCACTTCACATTTACTACAAATCGGCAGCGAAAAACCACAGTTATTATGAATCGAACCCTAAAATTATATGCACGCCTAATAAACCTCGGAACTGAATCGGAATAGAAAGAGAGAGAGAGAGAGAGAGAGAGAGAGAGAGAGAGAGAGAGAGAGATTTACCAGGGTTTCGGGGCGGGCCGACTGGCGGAGCTTGGCTTCGAGCTCAGGGTTTCCAGAATTGGTGACCTGCATAACGCAATAGCCGATGACCCCCGGCACGACACCGCACACGGTGGCGAAGGTCAGGAAGAAGGGCTTGGAGTCCCTCGTCTTCGCCACTAGCCACCGCCATGTGGAGCTCTTCTCCCACAGAAATGACATTCCAGATCCTTCTTCTGTCTTCTCCTACACCAATCGAAAAATTAGGCTCTGGAAATTGGACCCTCGTAAGTCATAAATAAATCGAATCCATTTCTGTAGTAACCGGAAATAGAAAAATTTGAGTGGAAATGCTTTGTGGACCAGGCAACATAGAAGCCCAGCCCAAGAGTATCCAGATGGCCTAACTAGGAAAAACAATTGACATTTATTTCTTTTTTTTTGTTTTTTGTTTTTTTTTTCTTTTTAAAAAAAAAATATTTAGCGATTTTTTTAAGGAGAATTAGTTTTACACTTCCCTTATTCGGGAACTCGAACTCATAACATTTTTTAAGGGTGATTGATAGTGTTCTCATTTTTCCTTCTTGGGAACTCAAACTCATGACTTATCGGTCATAGGTAACTCAAAGTAAATTTATGTATAGACTCATTGTTTATTATTTATTAATAAAACTTCTTGTCTCAATTGAGTAAGTCATTTAGGGTGTACATGGATATAGGTTGGGTTGAGTTTTGATTGATTTGTTATTATTATTATTATTTTGTTAGCATGAGTAAATTTTGAAAAAGTTTGTTGAGTTAGGTTTAAATGGGATTTTGAGTTTGCAATAAAATAATATTTTACATAACAAAGAGTATCCAACTTTCATGGCCTTTTCCCTTCTTTTCCCTTTATCATCATCTCCATCAACTGGCGCGCGAGCGGTGAATAAGATATTTTGATATATAATTGTTGCTTGTAATTTAGTCTTATTTAGTCCATAATTAATTTTTTTGTTCGAGTGAAATTGAAATTTGAATTCCTCAACACAATAGTGTAATTAATTCCTAAAAATAAATAAATTCTTATAAAAATTAAAAAAAAAAATTGCGGTGCTAGAAAATGTTTGTTATTACCGCACAAGAGTCCATTCGGACAAGAAAGTGAGACTTACATGAATTTTTACCATTCCATTTAATGAAAAAAAAAAAATGATTGGGCGGTCATTTTGATACGATAGCCTACTTCACGAACAAAAATAAATATTGTGAATGTGAAACGTCATATTAAACAAATCAATAAAAATACATGAGAGAGCAAAAATACATGCCTAGTGATCAAAAGAAAAAAAAAATGTAAAGTTGGGTTGTGAAGATAATAATTAATTAAAATTAAAATGGCGGTGCATGCAAAACATATAGATGAAGCTTCCAACTTTAGTGAAGAACACTGTTGTTACCAAAAGCTGCTGGGAGATTCTGTATTTATTTACGTGCAAACTGCAAATAAACCTCCATAAGGGTTTGTGTCTTGCATATGATGGATTTTTCTTTTCTTTTTCTACTTTTTCTTTTCCATTTTATGTTTTTCTCTTTTGATATTAAACAGAGTGGCTTT